TAAAGCTCGTCACACAGACACCATGAACCATGGTGCAGGCAGGACCAGTGGATGCCAGATAGGAGCTGTGGCTTCTACCACGTGCACATTCAACCTTTGTGGGGCAGAGTCCTCAATGCAAACCACGCCCCTTATTCACCATACTGACATCACTAGTTCAACTTGATTTCTCCTTGCAGTCAGTGAGTTCCCTTTTCATTTGCACAGTAGTGCTACCCACCTCTGTATCTTCCCCAAAATGGCACTGTGTTCCGAAGCAGGAGGGTCTGGCTTTTCCTGTATTGTAAGTGAAGGGTCAAGGAGGAATAGCTATAGCATGTTGGTGACTTGCTCAAATACAGCTGCACAAGTGTGAGTTCCATGCTTGGTCAGAAGCCATATGGGTAGCTTGAGGGTCTTTTGAATTTAGATTTAAAGAACTGGATTCAGATGTTAATCCTTTTGGGGATATGGGGCCATATGCCAGAGGATTTCTGAATTCTTAAATATTATTTTTGATGTTGTCAAAATGTCATATGTTGTTAACATTCCCAGTGAATGGTACTTATTTGTAAAATAGTATGAAAAGATCAATGTTTGTGGCCACTTCTGCTTGTGGCTATTTTTGTTGTTCATAAAGACTTGGCCATAGGTTGTATGACTTGTGGTAGTGATGTGTGTGTGTGTGTGTGTGTGTGTTGTGTGCACACATGCTTGAGGGTATGATGTTTTCAGTGTCTTGGTCCCAGGCCACAGATTCTGTCTGAGTGCTCTGATTTCAAAGTGCTGTGCATGGAGTCATTGCTGAGGAATGATCTCATTTATGATGTGGATGGGAAATGGAAATTCCAGTTCTGTTCTGTTTTTGCTTCAGAATATTTCTGCTTTTTTTTTATTTTTGGTTTCTATTTAAATACTAAAACATTTAAATGGAAAACACAAATGGATTTTTTTTTTCCACCAATACACCTTATTTAACATTTTACGGCTAAATTACCTTTAGTCAGTAATCACATTATGGGGCAAGGATGATACTTACCTTTTTGGATTAGATTTTATTACCCTGATAATATTTTTTTTTCCCTTGGTCAGGTCAGTAGTTTAAAACTGAGCATTCAGAATAAAATTTTGCTTATTTGACTTGTTTATAATTTGTTTTTTAAAAGAACTTTTTAGTGATCAATATTGATGTTTTTGTCAGTGAAATCTTATAATAACATAATTTTTTCCTGAAGGATTCTGAATGGGCCTAAAGAGCTATATTTAGGAAGGGCTTCATGTAACATCTGGGTAGTTGTACAGCAGCTGGGTAACAGAACATAAGGAACTTGACTCAAAGCTCAGAGCACTAATTGAGAAAGAGCCTGGTGTTTAATTCTGGAGTCAAGGGGAAAGCAATGTGGGAGGTAATTATCCAATTTGGGATATTGCTTGGTTAAAAGAGTTACTGTGTTAATAAAAATATAATGAGGCCTAGCCCCCTTGGGTGCTGTTTATTTTTGCATATCTCCCTGGGGCCATAACTCCAGGTGCAAGACGGTTCAATGAGACCATGTTTTACCCTTGGCTTGGACTCAATTAGAGGGTGGGTCTCTGCTTCCTGAAAGTACTCAACCCACTACTGACATGATACTGGGAAAGCAAGTGTTTAGGAGAATCACAAGACAATTCTCCTGCTTTCTTGGCATGGGTGAGTGAGGCTCTGGTGTCAGATTCTGGTTTAATCATTGCATTTTAATTTTAGGAGACATTAGTGATTAGGGAAGAATAAGAAAGTAAAGATTATAAGTTGGGATTTAGGAAAGAGAGTTAAAGGTTTGGGGTGGGGGGATTGCGGATACTAGAACATTTAACTTAAAAGTATACCGTGCCCAGTGACTTGGGAGGCTGAGGCAGAAGGATCTCGAGTTCAAAGCCAGCCTCAGCAACTTAGACCCTAAACAAGTTCAATATATTAAAATAAAAAATAAAAAGGGCTGGGGATATGACTCAGTAGTTAAGTGCCTCTGGTACCAAACAACAGCAACAACAACAACAACAACAAAACAAAATCCATACTATAAATCAGAAGGAAATCATCTCAGAAGAGAGGATGGTTGGAAGTAACCTGGGAAAGACCCCTAGGCTTCCTTATCTTCTGTAAACTTGAACAAATAAGAGTTATTATTATTATTACTTTTTTTTTGTAAAAGGCATTTTTAGTATGGGTACGATGGATAAAGAAGTTGTTTTGGTTCATCTCAAAAATTCTTTTCTGTCTTTTCTTTGAAGATCAGTAGAAGGGCTTCTGCCCTCCGGTCTGTTCTGGTTTTCATTACTATAGCATTAAGATTCTTTCTTTTGGTTTATTCTACATTTACAGCTTATATCTTTGGCACTCTCAGGTCCGAGCCTTCTACCTATCCCACCACATCTTCACTATCCTACATTGAAAATATATTTAGAATCTAATTGCTCCTTGCCTCTGACACTGCTGTATGACTGGCCTGTGCGGTGATTTCATTTGGGTTGTGTTAGTCTTCCAATAGGTCTCCTGCTTCTACTTTTGGATTTTATAATTTATTTTCAACCTATCAGTCAGTCATTTAAAAAAACATATATGAGCTAGATTATCTTGCTTCTCTGATCTGGCCCTACAGTGGATCCAATTTTCTGCCAATTAAAAAAAAAAAAAAGTCCTCACCATGTTTTAGAGAGCCTATATTAGGTTCCTAATACAGGTGCTATAAGAAATCACTATAAACTTGGTGGCTTATAACAATAGATATTAAGTCATTCATAGTTCTGGAGGCCAGAAGTACAAATTCAAGGTGGGGATATGCTTTGAAGGCTAGGAGAGAATCCTTCCTGTTCTCTTCCAGGTGATTCCTGCTGTTCTGTGCCTCATATCAGCATAACTCAAATCTCTGCCTCCATCTTTTCAAGGCCTCCACTTCTTCCTCTTATAAGAACACTTAATACTATAGTTAAGCCCTCAGATTAACTACAGATGGTCTCATTTTGAGATCATTAAATTATTTGCTTTTGCAAAGAGACTCTTTCTCTGAATAAATTCATATTTTGGGGCTTTGGAGGGTTAGGATGAAGACATATTTTTTAAAGACCATCAATGAACATTCTCCAGATCCCCATCTATAATAGTCCCCTATTAGTGCTTGGATTTCTTTGTCCTTCCACTCTGACCCTTGATCACCTTGTTGTAGCCATACTGGATTTCTAGATTTTTCTCAAACATACCAGGTACTCAAGGATTAAGTCCTTTGTATTGACTGTTCCCCTTTGCTTGGGACACTCTTCCTCCACATACTGACATGATCACTCATTCACGTTACATTCTCATGAGATTTTTCCTGTCAATAGTCTATTTGAAATTGTAGTGCTCACCTTCCTTCTTATCCTGATCTTATTTTTCACCTTTCTTTAATTTTGGTTGGATGGGCAATTCTGTTTTATGAGATGTTGCCTGGGGTGCCAGGATGGCTGGAAGATCCAGATGGCTTAGACATATGTCTAGCAGTTGTTTCTGGCTGCCAGATGGGAGCTCAATAGGAGCTGTTGGCAAGGCACCTAGCTTTCTGTGTGGACCTCCTATGAAAATGTTTGGGTTCCTTCACTGGTTTGGTGGCTGAGTTTCCATAGGGAACATTGTAAGAGGAAAGAAGTACAGTTGATGATGAGGTTACTGCCTGATAAACTCATTGAAAATATCGCTAAGGTGCACACTGATTGTGTGACTCCCTGACAGCTCTGGCTCACTGTTAGAGAATATCCTGCCATGTATCTCTAATCTGGGAAAAGATCAAAATTCAAAATGCAATGTAGAGTTTGTGCTGAATGCATATAGCTTTCACATCACTGTCAAGTCACAAAATCATAAGAGAAACCATCACAAGTTGGGGACTGTTCTTAGAAGCTGCTAGGCTGGACTCAGAAGTGCTATTGCTTCCGCTGTACTCTTTTGGTCAAAAGTGGTTGGCCACCTAAATTCTATGAGAGAAAATATAAACTCCACCTCTTTCAAGGGGAGTGAAAATTTTGTGCAGGAAGGGTAGAAACTGATGTAATCCTTTTTGGAGACTCTCTATCAAAAGAACGTTCCTGAATTCCTGATGTCATGCCATGGCGTGGCGTGGCTACCTACCGAAATAGACATCTTGATTTTTATGTTTGCTCTCTTTCTATCCTGCTATTCTGTTACTAAGGGATTGGTTGCCCCAATCTTTAAAAAAAACAAACAAGCATTATTTTAACATTTTTAAAATTTGAGACACATAGAAAAATCAGGTCATTAGGATCCTCAATGTTCCTTGTATCAAATTTATAAAAACCATTCTGTGTACAGTGAAGTTGGGGGGGGGGAATCCATTGTTAGGCCTTAACAATTGGTTCAAGTTATGGATAGTTTGCCTAAGTTTCACATTCAAAGGAAGTTATTCCTTGATATTATTACTCTTAGTTGATAGAGTCCAAATTTCTACTCATACAGATGAGGCAATTATTATTACAAATCATATTTTTAAGGTCTCAAACCACTCCAGTGTGAAAGGATTTTTGAAATCACAATATATCTGGGTAAGGTATTTCTGCTCTTAGCTGATAAAAATCAGTGGGTTAAATAATATCTTATGGAATCAAAAGTTTACTGCTTAACGATTAGGCTACTTCCATTATGAAATTATATTTCCTGAGACTGAAGATAGTGGGATGACTCTTTTTTGCCTGTATCTACTTTTCTGTTTTGATCTTTTCAGACTGCCACAGAAAACACCACAGACTGGGTGGCTTCAGTGACCAAAACTCATTTCTCTTCCAGAGGCTGGAAGTCTGAGATCAGGGTGCCAGGAATGCCCAGGTTCTGAAGAGGTGATGAGGGCCCTCTTCTCAGGATGCAAACAGCTGCCTTCCTTCTGTGACCTCATATGGCAAAGAAAGGAGAACAATGGGGCATTTTTAGAATCACAGTAGCACTGTGTTCTTTGAAAGAATTTATGTCATTTTGGTGAACACTGACTTTTAATAATTTCGATGTGAACCAGGTGATACCTGATCAGATGAAATGGCTGCATTTGTAGATTGGTCATGTTCAACAGCAGGGTATAGAAGGAGGTGGGGTGATCTGGAAAATTAAAAAATTGTACAGAAACAAAATCCTATTCTTCCTCTGCTAAAATATTACTTAAAGAAAGTGGTGCCTTGGTTTTAGAATATGTCTTTAAAACCAAGTTTTAGGTGGATTCATCTCTGTCATGTATCCCCTTTTGCCCCCCCCTCTGATTTTCAAGACAAGGTCACTAAGTAAAAGTCAAAGGTAAGTCACATATTGTAACATTGTTTCAATTATTTTGGAATCAAAATAAGCTACCTTAAGGGAACTCATTTTAACACATTGAGGGTATATTTTTTCCCCATATTCAAAACATTGAAGAAATGATTCAGGCATAAAAAATTTTTAATAAGGAAAAATATTATAAATTATATATTAATTTTGGTAAATGAAAGAGAAATGAAACTAGAATGATGAAAAAGATTGTTTTACTTCTAGTTATTAGAAGTACAGGAAATATTAAAATAAGACTATTTGCTGAGTATTCATATAGTAGATTATTTTTCCATCAAGAAAGTCAGTCTAGGTGATCTAAGTACAGTTGTGATCATGGACATACCACATTCTGAGCTTCATTTCTTATTCATAATAATAACACGAATACTTGTTCTTATTCATAATAATAAACACTTGTTCTACTTCACACAGAGGGCTCAGGGGAGAGAAGCTATGTTTTTAACTTTCCATTAGGATACACCAAAACAGTGTAATTATCATTAGTACAAGACTTCTTGTATTTCATCATTTGTTTAATTTAGTAAAAGGAATTATTGTACCTGAAGAAGAAAAAGTTAGCTATAATTATTTAGAACTTTTTGTTGCATTTTTGTGGTAGAAGAAAATGTTTCAAAGAACATACTTCTGCAATTACAAGGAGGTTAAATAAAGAAAAACAAATTTCAATCATCAAAATATACAATGTTCTCTGTGGACTGAAAGTGTTTTTGTGAAATGCAAGTTATTCTTGTCCATATTGTTTACTCTTTGATAAATGTATTGATAAGTAGCATAGATATGGAAAAGTGTTCTCATTCTAAGCACATTATTCAATGGATTCACCTATGCAATGAACATCCCTTATAAGCAACACCCGGATCAAAAACCAGAATAAACCCTCTCCAATGCCTGCCTCCCAATCCCAGGAGTAACCAATTCTAACAGCATCAGTAGCTCTGCCAATTTTTATTTTATGTATAACTGGAATCATAAAGTCTACATAATTTTGTATCTGGGTTGTTTCTTCAATAGTAAGTCTGTGAAAGTCATCTACACATTTATACACAGTGATGGGGTAATTGTCCACATTGCTGATCAGTATTTTGTTGTGTGAAAATGTCATAGTTTGTTTATTCATTTTACTGTTGATGGGCATTTGGATAGCTGCAGTTTTAGGGCCATTACTAGCAGGGCTCCCATGAACATTCTAGTGCTGTTGTTGGTTATCACATGCACACACTTCTGCTGATCATATGATATGACCATGTTCTCTTTAGCTAATATTTCCAGATTTCCAACTAATTACCATTCCCACCAACAGCATATGTGAGTGCCTGCAATTCTGCTTTTTAATCACCACTATTTCCCTTCTGTGTTATTTTAGTCCTTTGTTCTTGTTTACCTCTAGTCGTATCTCAGGGTAGGTTTACTTTGGATTTCCCTGATGATTAAAGGGGTCCAGTACCTTTGCATTCCTTATTGCTTATTTAGATATTCTGTTTTGTGCAATGTCTGTTCATGTTTCTACTTACTTGTCCATTGAATTATCTTTTTCTTAAAATTTTATAGGAAATCTTCATAAAGTTTAATGGCTTCTTTCATTTGCAGTTTTCCTGTTTATTCTACTATTATGCCTTTTTATGAACAAAAATTCTTATTTTAAAATACTGAATTTCATTTTAATAGTTTGTGTTTTTTTATTAATAACTCTTTGCTTACTTTATAGTCTTGAGATTTCTACCCATGAAATTGTTTAATAACTGGAAGTGAAGACTAACAATAAAACTATATAAAGGAAAGTGTACATTCAGCTTGGTTAGTCAAATGCAATTAAGCAAATGACTTATGAAGCAATGAACATGAAGAAATGTATATTTTGATCCACGATTAGTCATTTCAATCAATCATGTCAAATTTTGAGGGTGAAAAAAACATCTTGTTTTTTCCTTCTTCTTATTCATGATTCCATTAATGTCGGGAGCTTATCTGCAATGACAGGCTTCCCCATTTCCTATGTGTCCCCCCAAAGATACAGCCCTTTATCCAGTCATAGAAGACACAACTTGCAAATGGAATAGTGTGATCAATTTTAAGGTTATAAGTAAGAGACAAAGAGGAAATATAGGTCATGGTTTGTCCTGGTATAAACTTTTTGCAGATGTACATATATGTTAGTAAAAGTCAATGTAATTGGTCCTCTAGTTTTGTCTGCTGATATTTTTGGTCAGGGCAATTGCCTTTCAGTGTGTAGGGTTTCCTTCTTTCTTTCTGGATGTCAAATATTCTTGAGCGTCAGTCTGAAACATTCCCATCAATTGCCAGTGGCCCAATGCAACTAGTGTTTCTCACAAGGGTAGACTCAAGATTCGATTAATTCAGATTTTTTCTTTTTTCTCTCCTCATGTAAGGCAGTCAAAACAAGCACATACTACAGTATCTAGAGTTGACTGAAAGTATTTGTGGTAAATGAAAAAAGCCCTTGAGTGGTGAGGAATGGTAAGTAGATTCTTTAAATAGACTTAGGGGTAGGAAAACCAATTTTCCTTTGATTTACATGAGAGATCTCAAAAACTAAAATATGTGCTTATAGTTTAGGGATTCCAAGTTGGATATAAAATGTCTAAGGTTTTTCTTAATTAGGAAGAATAGAGGAAATCTTATTTAATAAGATCTTAAGATTTTTTAGTAAACTTTTTGAACTGGTTAACTTTCACCGAAATCCTTACCTACTTAGTTGGCCTTCTCATTACCAATGGTTTAGACCAAGAGGAACAAGACATCATCAGGATGAAATTCAGTCTCTCTCTCACTTGGAACCTGCCATTTGGAACTGTCCACTCTTCTGCTGGATTATCTCAGTTGGTTGTCCCCTTTGCCTGTTCTTTATAGACGAATCCTCCCAAAACTTGGGACATTCATTTTGTTTTCCATGAGGAGTTAGTCTGAATTTTTTTTGGTAAAAGAGAAATTTTTTCTTCTACATCTTCAGGTCAAGAAGGCAAAAGTAAATTGAGTCCCTAAATGGTTTGAGGAAGAAATTGGGAATGAGAATGGACGCTGAGGGTTCTAAATTTTCCCCATTTATTTTCATGCTTGGCCTGTCTGGAAAAATCCTGAAGGAGAATGGGTCTTTGGGGACTTCCCCAAATCTGAGCTGCATAATTCATATATTACAGCTAGCTTTCTAACCACTTTTTAACTCAGTGTATCTTCAAATATCTATAAAATTAAAGAAAATAGTTGCATTTTCCTTCTTATTGTGATATACAGAATAGTAGAATAGTGATAAACATTAGGATCTGCATTTTAAAAAAATTGGGTGGTGGCGGGTGTTAAGCAGTGGGTCATGGGAGACCAAACACGGTATAACTTTCATTGGGAGTTTTAAGAAACAAAGTAGAGCAAAGGCATTACATGCATTGGTGCTTTAATAAATTTTAATAACCAGATCTTGATGACTTTCTGGGGAATGAATTTCAAACAAATTCTCGAGGATCTCCAGTTAAGACCTGCTTCCACCACATCGGAGCAGCAAAGGCCCCAAGTTATTTGGAGTAGTGTTTAGGGGACAGAGATGGAAAACATTTGCATTGATTATAGAAACACATATCTACAAGGGTCTTCTCCATCCTCTCCTCACTCTGCTTTATGAGAAACTAACTCTCTTGTGTATAAGCTATTCCTTGGCATCATTTGGGAGGTTGTGACAGTGATCCAATTTAAAATGTGACATGGGTTAAAACCTCTTTACCTTCTGCCTCCAGTTCAAAGACCATCTGTGGAGTGGCTGTTGGTGGAGGAGAATTCCAGTGCCAGCCAGCCAACTTCCACTGTTCCTCTATTCCTGAGGACTCCTCTACCATAAGCTCGGTGATTCCCTCTTGTTTGTGGGCTCTTTTCAACCAACCTAAGTACTTTCATGTGTGTCTTACTGATGGCGAGGAGTTTGAGTCCAGAAAGAACACAGGTGTGTGTGTGTGTGTGTGTGTGTGTGTTGCCCATGGGCACACACATGTGCATGCAATGAATTTTGTGTTCTCCCACTAATTTGTTAGCTTCTTTGAGTCTTTAATCTGGATATCTCTCATGCTATTTGGTTTAGTGCTTTGCAAATTTAAGGTGATGAGCAGTAAGGTATGGATCATGCTTCTGTAATTCATGAGGTAGTGTTTACAGGTGAGTTTAAATGCTTTGTTTCTGTAGCCACAGACTTTGGATGATTCATGCCTGTGCCACTTGATAGCTATCAATCTTGGAATCTCCCTGTGTCTGGGTTTCCTTATCTTGAGATTGGGGTAGTAGTACCATCTTCCTCATAGGCTATTGTGAGCATTAATTGAGTTATTGTAAATAAAGTAGAACCATACTTGATATGTAAGAAATTGCTGCTGGCTAGCTTTTAAAAATGTTATTATTAGCACTTTAGAGTTTACAGTGATTCATTTGACTCTCACAAGAATACTGTAAATATAAAGGGCATATGTCTTTATTTAATTTTGCAACTCTAAGGACGAGGTCTTAAAATTAACAAGAGGCAGGATTAATGGTGGCATATACCCAAGTCAAGTTTCCAAAACCATCAGTATTGTCACTATCCATACCATTGTCATAGAGGATGGATTAAATACTACATAAATATTGCCTTGTTCAGTGGTGCACGCATGTAATCCCAGTGGTCAGGGAGGCTGAGGCAGGAGGATCTTGAATTCTAAGCCAGCCTCAGCAACTTAGGGTCTCACTGAGCTGTTCAGAGATTCACTATCTCTAAGTAAAATATAAAAAAGAAGGCCTTGTTATGTGGCCCTGGGTTCAATACCCAGTGCACATGCACACACACCCACACACACCCCCACACACACAAAAAACCCGAAACTATATGAAACTATTAAATTAAATCACAGAGATATCAGAGTATTGACTGTGGATACCACACATGGAAACCTTTTTTGACATAATCTTTGCTATGGACTTGTGTCTCTGACTAGATAGAAAAATAGAGGTATCATGAATTACATAGGTGTCATCCCAAGTCCAAGTGGATGGATAGATCTGGCAGTTTCTATAGACAAGAATTAATTGGAATGCAGGCTAGAAAGTCACCTTTAGCCCCAACTAGTCTCAAGAATAGTTCTCAAGAAATCCAAATTGGCTATTAAAAGAATCTCATTCCTGGGGCATGGGGCAGAGAAGAGGCTCTTTGCTACATAGAAGTGTATGCCTCTGAGGTTGTATTACCAAAGTCTTCCCTTTCTCTGTCTGTCATGTCCTTCTTTTGTAATGAATGCCTGAGTTGGAGTTTTTCATATAGTAAATGTTCATTAAACAAAACTGAATGAATGTACATCAACTTTCCTTTGTTTGATGACCTGCTAACACATGAGTACCAAAATTACAAAAATTGTGAAATGAGAAATTATTTGCCTATAATAATAGCTATTAGACTAAAGTTAGACTAATATTAGCTGTTAATATGCTTAGTTTTAAGGTAAAACAAATTCACTCCATTTGATATTGCAGGCTATGCTTATCCCAGTACTTCCAGTCCACTTTTACTTTTCTTTTTTGTTTCCTTTTTTTAAAATTTATACATGACAGCAGAATGCATTATAATTCTTATTACCCATATAGAGCACAATTTTTCATATCTCTAGTTGTATAAGTAGTATATTCACACCAATTGGTGTCTTCATACCTGTACTTTGGGTAATAATGATCATCACATTCCACCATAATTTATAACCCCATGCCCTCTCCCTTCCCCTCCAACCCCTCTGCCCTATCTAGAGTTCGTCTATTCCTCCCATGCTTTTCTTTTCATAGAACTTACGGTCTCCTTCCACAAAATGGAATTATTAGGCTCTTACTGATTGTCTGACTGTTTACCATGGGAAATCTACTCCCTGGAAGACTGAGGTCTTTGTTTTGCTTGTTGGTTTATTTCAGGATCATACAACAGTTTCTGGCATGTATTAGTTCAAGGAGCATTTTTTTAATGGTAGAAGCTCCCTCTTTGTGCAAGGCAATGTGAGTGGTATCATGTAGAGGAATCAATAGTGACTAAAAGACCATTCAGTGAGTCTATGTGAGTGTGTATGTATTCATTAATACAAAGTGCTTATAATTTTATAGGTGATATGTAACATACAGTAAATATTTAAAGGTATGAATAAAGATGGTTCCCAAATTAATGATGGTTTGACTTTATGATGGTGTAAAACTAATACCGTCACAAACTGGAAATACTTCTTCAAATTTTGAATTTTGCAGTATGATTTTCTCATGATGCGTGGCAGCAGCAGTGAGCTGCAGCTCCCAGTCATTTGCATGAGATATTGAACATTTTATTAAAAAATAGGCTTTTTGCTAGATAATTTTGTCTAACTGTAGACTAATATGTGTTCTGAGCACATTTAAGTGACCTAAGCTAAACTATGATAAATTAGGTGTATTAAGTTCATTTGGTTTATCTTATTTTCTACTTATGATGGGTTTATCAGAATGTGCAAGTTAAGAACTGACTATTATATCTATCTTAGCTATCTATCTTATAATGTCTCATCTATCTAATTTCTCTAATTTATCTATCTCATCTATCTATCTATGGGCTGTGAACAATTTGACTACAGTTTTGACCTGATCAGAGTGTCTTTGGCCCCTCGAATCTCTGCCCCTTGTAGAAGATGTGCTCTGGGTTGTGTAGGTCACCTCTGCAAGGCCTCACCAGTTGTCATAAGTTTCTCTCTCCTCCTCATGCTCTAGGATGCAGCTCACAAACTAAAAGTCTGAGAGTTGCATCTGGCCTGCACATGTGTATTGTTGGGTTTGCCAGAGGCTTGAAAATTCTTTAAGTCAATTGCCAACATTTAAAAATCTGGAGAATTCTCATAAATATCCAAATTTCCTTCCGCCTTCGCTTGCAAAGCCTCAGAGTGTCTGTCAACACAGGGCTGGCATTTCCACAGGACCTTGGTAGGCTGGGGCTCGGCAGGAGCTGGCCCATCAGATGAGACATCTGCTCTTCTGGCTACCATGGTTCCATCTTACCACTTCCCTGCTTAGCTCTGAATAGGCTGAGATTGCAACCCCTACTTTGAGGCTGCCCTCCACCCATCCTCCTATCTCTTGTGGTAGGAATTGATAGTGGTGCAAACTGCTGGGAAGAGAGGAAGAGATAATGATGTTCGATTCACACTGATTGGTAGCCACACACTCATTTTACACCTAGGGTGCAGCCCCTGCATTAATAAATAACTTGTTTCCCATGGAAAACCGACATCTGAGATTGAAGCAAGGTTTGCAGTTCTTCTTGACTGCATCAATACGATGTGCTCATTAGCTAAGCCATTGAAAGAAGAGTGTTACTTATCTTTTAGGGGAAAAAAAGTTACATCAGGGAAACAAGAGCTCAGGATGCCACTAACCACCTTCCTGAGGATTTTCCTTGTTGTAAAGAAAAACCTGCCACTTAAGCTTGTCCAAACTTGTCTGTTAGGACTATGCACATTTTCACTTTTAAAATAATCCCATATATGTGATTTTGGGCAAAATAGCACCATAGTCTTCCCTGAGGGTTTGTTATTTAATATTTGAAGGGAACGAGATAGCCAGCACACTATTTCAAAACCAAATGAAAACACATCAAAAGAAAGCAGACCATCTTCACATTAGTGGATGAAAGAACACTACTTACTTTGCCTTCTCCTCCCTGAATGAGAAATATTATGTGATAAATGTCCCTTGGTTATTTCTTCATTCTTTCCTTTTCCTTCCTGCTGTTCCTGATGACAAGGCTATAATGTGAGAGCTAATTTGTGTCAGGTGGTATTGAGTGCTTGTAGGAAAGCTTGGTGTCAATGTAAATTTCCATAGCTTTGAAACAATGGTAGGCAATTAATTAAAATGTTGTCACTGATACCTCCACTGCAGTTTAAATAACCCAGTGCTTCATAATGGGAAGCCAGTTTTAAATAAAAGAGGAGAACAAATGGCTGAAAGCATATGACAGAAAATACAGAACATGCACATATGAAGTGAATCAGACGTTGGGGTGTTTGTCAGCAGAAGGCTGGTGGAGATGGAGAAACTGCTAGGACCAGTGGGCACCAAAGTCAGGGGATCCATCCTGCAGTTGGTTTCTGGTGAAAGTGACTCAAAGTCAATGTCAAAGATACCTGGTGATTTCAGTCCTCTTGGAGATAGGTAGGGTGTTGCAGCTTAAATCTCCAGGAAATGTTCATGGGCAGGTGGGCACAGCAGCCAAGGGCTCAGGACACAGAGTTCAATGGCCCAGGAATGAGGAGACCATTGACAAAAGTTGAACTGGGAATTAGGTCCCAGCTGAGAACCTTAGATGGAACAGGGCTTCAGGTCTTGGACAGGGAGCAAAAGTGCAGATCAGGAAATTGAGGCATTTGCCCCCAGATTTGTGGACTTCACAAACTCAACATGGCTGGGAAGAATGTGGTTCCACACACTCACAGGAACCTAAGGATCATTTTGGCCACCATAAAACCACAGTAGTAAAGTGAGTTTCAGCCCCTACCAGCTGGTAGAAACTGTATCTAGTGTTATATTATTGGTACTGGACCCACAGGGGTTGGGAAGTTCAGGGCTTAAAGGTACTGACACTGGAAAGACATCTGAAAACATACATATGCAAAGATGAACATGCGCACTGACACACTTCTCACCTTTTGAGAACATGTATTTCAAGATGTTAACAGTGATTTTTGATTAGGTGAATGAATTCTTTGTTGCAGTTTATTTACCATAAAAGTACAACAGATGGGTGTGGAGGCACATGTTTGAAATCCCAGTGGCTTGGGAGGCTGAGGCAGGAGAATTGCAAGTTTAAAGCCAGCCTCAGCAACTTAGTGAGGCCCTGAGCAAATTAGCAAGACCCTGTGTCAAAAAAAATAAAATAAAATAAAATAAAAGAAGAACTATGGATGTGGCTCAGTGATTAAGTACACTTGGGTTCAATTCTGGATACAACAGAAAAAAAACAAAGCAACTATTAAAAATTTTTTCAAAAGGAAAACTATGTTCTTAAATTATGGAACAATATCTGCTTTACTATAATTGAACTTATACCTGAAGTAGATTTAAAGGTGGAACACATGAGAAAAAACAAAAGAAAGAATGATAAAAGTATTTTCCACACAGAGCCCTTATGATAATTATAATCACACCATCACTCTCAAATCCTCTCTTTCTGACCTTGCAGTGGAGAATGGTGATAATAAAAAGAAGAGAGTGCATAAAAATTCTTTCTTGAGCATTGATCTGAAATGACCTTGAAGTTAAATTGGAAAATAAATTGAAGACAACTGAAACAGGAATTAGAGCATTCAGACGTGAGTTGGAACAAAATTTTATCAATTAATGTTTTAGTATCTATTGTTATTCCCTTTATTCATATACTTATGAATAAGTATTTATGGAGATGAGATTTTTTTTAGTGACATTTTACCAATATGGTAATCTAGATTTCAGGAAATACCAGGCTATACATATTCACTGTTTTATAATCTGAAGAAGGCAGAGAGATTCAAAAACAGCATTCCCTGGGGTCCCCCAACCGATTTCCCTCTATTCTTTTTTTTTTGTTAGAATTACAGCATGCAATTATAGAAAGGGCAATAATTGCTCATAATTGTGCTTTTATATTCAATGAAAGATTTTGAATGATATCAGCATATTCCAGCATCTCAGAATTAGCTCAATGTCAAGGTTTCCTGTTACAATTTATTTGTATCACTCAGTTTATGTGTCTAGACTAGAGATTGGGTAATGGATGAATCCCACAGTTTGCTTTCTTAAAGGGAAAGAAATCGGTCTTAAACTTTTGACTAAACAATTTACCTAGAGTTATAGTTAATCTCAGTCCAGAATACCTGTTAGTACCTGAGAATCAGAAAGTACCCAAGTGTGGAGAACAATGACTTGGACTTTGAATGCTTCGGAGTTGTGGCCGGGAACTTTCTGTACAAAGGTGCAGGTGAACATTGCCTAGGGGCTATGGTAAAGCCCTGCCTGAGTAAGTTCTGTGCAAAAGTACAAAACAATAACTTGAGCTCAGACACTAGCTGCTAGGGATAGAAAATTCTGAGCATAACAAGATAAGGACAATATCTTGTAAGCATTGCAACCTTCAAGCCTGCCTGCTTTGCAGAAACTCTGGACAATGGGCCTCTTGTGTGCAGCAGGATAATAACAGGATGTTTCTAGCAAACAGTAGGATAGCTACAAAAATGTTTCTAGTTCTGTAACTTTTTAGTGCGCAAAGAACAATGTACCTATAGTTTTAACTTCTTGATTTCAGACCCTATATGATAAATGTGTTAAGCTAACTCTGGGTCACTTTTCTTCCATTAGAGGTCAGTGGACCACATGGTCCTAGCTTTCTCTCTCTTTTTTTTTTATGTCTTTCTTAATCTCTCATCATCTCTCACCAGTTTCTAGGGTTCAGCCATGCTGGTCATGGAACCCAGAAGAAAAAGATGGGGTCACATTCAAAAGAGACAAGAGTAAGCTTGGGTCAAATCTGGGACAGTGTGAGCACCAGTAAATTATAACTCATTGAGTACAATAAGCAAGAACTCATGAGTTCTATACTGAAAATACAGAGATTAATTAACAGGCAAGAAGGGAAAGCTCTTTGTGAAGGTAGAATGCCAACTTGTAAATACAGAAAGAATGGTGGTACATTCAGCTTCAAACTTCACAGGTGTTCGAGGATTATAGTTGGAATAAGTTTCTACTTTCCCCGGGGACCAATCACAACGTGAGATATTCTCTGACCATCCCTCTGCTCCAAACTTTGCTTCAATCACAAAGTGAGATGATTTTCAATTTTATCCTCCAGAGCAGCTAAACTGGTTCTCATTTAGGCCACATAAGTGCCACTGACTACATTGGTTGTCAACACTAGAGTTATAGTTATACCTTGGAATCTCCTAGAGAGGTGACATGAAGACTCATTCATAGTCAAGACCTTGCCTTGCTACATAAAATATCAAGGTCACTCTCCTATCTGGGTGCTTAGTTCCAACCAGTTTCCTATTTGATCATACCTACTATAGAAATGAAGACAGAAGTTTGAACTTGCCACTGCTGAGTCATGCAGACTGTGATTTGGTGGAGGACTAAATGCCATTAGGATGAGACACTCCTTTAAGCATCTTGCGGTGTTCCCTAGAATCCCTCTGAGGGAAGTCAGGACTTGAGAATTCCACAAGTGGCCTCCAGATCACCCTTGCCTTTATTAGCAATAGCACAACCACTTTTTAAAAATACATTTATGAGTGGGGGTAGGAAAGAGAGAGGAGATCAGGAGTGGAAGAAGATAGAGGGACCAGGTTACTTTGTCACCCTGCCATTTGTCTGCATATAGGACTGGCTTTTATATTGCTGATTTTCAGGTCAAAATGTTCTCTTTACTATTTTTACCTAGAGCACCGAGAGCAAGGAAGCATTAGAGATTTTTTTTTTTTGGTTATAGGTTATAAAAAAAGCAATTTTATACATATTCAAACCCAGTATCTTTTCAACCACATACCATTAAATAAAAAATAAAACAAGCAAAAACCCTCTCAAGTTAATCTTTGTGGACCATCATTAGGAAACTTGCTGTGAATTGTCATCAGGGTTGATTTGGTTGCTAGGGAAAGAAAAAAAAAACACAATATTTTAACTGGTAAAAAGTGAGGTTGTGTTTTGCACCTGCCTAGTCAATAGTTGAAGTATTGTCCTATTTATTACCATTAGCTATCAGTTAACTTCTTTTAAATTTTGATTCATTCATATGTTTTCATGTTATTGGGAGGAATAGAGATGGAAGGAATTGCCATCTTATATTACTTAGTCTATTTAGAGTCTAAAATATGACTCATCATTTAAAAAGATGCACAAGTGTTATATTCTAGAAGTTACTTTTTCAGTTTGCTGACTCTCTTCTTAGCTTCCACACCTGTTCCAAATTTGCATACCTTCCATTTCTTTCCTCCATCTGGGGAAATTGTCTGGTCTTGCTTGTTGGTTTCCTATTTTATTCATGAAACCTCCCTAGACCCCTTTATCCTTAATTACTCTTGGAATATCCTGAAGCTCCTGCAGAACGTACTCCAACATTCAGAATAAATTCTGTCTTGTTGCTACTTACTTCATATGCACATCTTGTCTTCCTAATGAAACTTTAAATTTTGTTAAACTTTAAACTTCTTAAGCAAAGGAACATCTTATATTTCTGAATCTCCCCCACCCTACCCCTGCATCTAGCATAGCACTGAATACATTCTAGGTAGAGAATTTAGTTAATGACTGACGAACATTGAGCTAGAGATTGTGCATTGAATATGGTCTTTGCTGTTGGGACTCTAAGACAAAAGTGTATCATGTTTGGGGAAGTGTATAGTGGTATGTAGTCATTTAAAAAACTGCTATAACCTTTACTTTTGAGAAGCTAGAAGTCTTTTTGTAAAGTGGACTGAGACAGATTTTTCTAATTTATCATTTCTGTAATTTTTGAATTTTTCACTATGAAGTTTCTCTGTAGAACTAAGAAAAATTGAAAAAAATAGCAAAACCATGATGATGGATGGAGTTTTGCAGATGGTATTTTTCTCTTGAATACAGATGGGGATGTGTCTGAATTTGACTGTTCAGTTCCTGAGTTTCCTTCCCAGGCCTCCACCCCTGGAAACAGCTGCATTTTGAGCTGAGTTGAATACTGCGGTTATTAGGCACTGGTGCCCCTTTTGGTCTTAATGAGTCATTACAATCCCTGGTGGTCCAGTGAAGCTTTGGTCTAGGACCTTATATGGCATTGCTGTGTATAATTCTTTAAATGATTCAAGTTCTCTGAAGTTTCTTCCATGAGACTTTCCTAATCCATTCAAAACCTCAGAAGAAATTCTGGTCTGTAATGCTGAGTAACCATGTCTGTTTAACTAAGTATACTTAGTTAACAGATAACCATAACAGATAAACGAAAATGGGCTCTGTAGATAATTCAGAAACTTACGAAAATAGAGGATTATAAATTGTACTAAGGGTCCTAAGTATTAGGTGATGTTTTAAGAGTAGCAGGAACCAGTAGAATGTCTCACTGAGTTCTGACACTGAGATAAGCCTATGAAGGATCGTGTGCCAATTTTAATGTGGTACATACCTCTGCAGCATCCCAAGAATTCTTTACATAAATGACTGTTGATACAACATTGTGTGTCATTTACAAATGTTCTCCTCCTCCTCCTTCTTCCCCACTTTCCTCTTCCTCTCCCCCTTCTTGTTTCCCTACCTCTTCCCCTTCCTCTTTTGAGACAGGGCTTTGCTGTGTTAGGAAGGCTGGCCTGGAACTTGTGATCCTCCAGCCTCAGCCTCCTGAGTAGGTGGAATTGCAGGCATGCATTATCACACCTGGCTTCTGGAGACATCTTCTTACTAATCCTATACTTGATGAAGGACAAATGTTATAAGTAGCTTGATATTCCACCATGGCTGTGGAGACTGTGGAACACATGAGGTACGCTCATAAGAGGAAGAGGAAGGGATTTGGGGAAGATTTAGGCATCCAGACTCCCACCCTGACTTTTGCAATAGAATCTTGTGATATTTTAAAATGCTAGAATGGTCAGAGGCAGGGATAATAGATGATGTCTGCTAATGAGGTTCACTTAACTATGTTTTCTGTTTCTTGACCTCCATCAAAAACAAAAAACAAAACAAAAAACACAAACAAACAAACAAACGACAACAACAAAAATCAAATGCCAAGAGTCTCTAGGAGAGAATAAATTCTTGGGGATGGGATACTCCATTCCCATAATTGGACTGCTCTCACTATTGGTTAACGTTCCTTTATATTGGCATATTTGCTGTATTTGAGACTTTTCTATGCTTAGAACTTTTATCCAGCTTATTTGAGAATCTTTGACGACATCCTATTTTGTATTTTATGTAATCACATTAAAATTTACCCCATATTGCCCCTAAAATAATGGGAAAATGAACTTTTGAGGCAAAGTTGACAGCTTGAGAAAGTTGAAGGACCATTTATGAATGGTCATAAATACATTTAATTATGTGACTGTTTTCCACTTCCCTTTCCAAATAATTTCTCTATCTTAGTTTACATCACATGTAAGTAAAATTCAATGTCAACATGGGGAAGGAAACACATGTGCCACCCATGTAAGGTAACACAAGGTGCTGGGATAAGGCTTCATGTCTAACTTCTGGTTAAAGGGGCAAACATAACCTATTAACAGTTCTCTTAATTAGAGAGGAGAAAGCAAACAGTTCTTTAGCAGAAATTATTTAACACCGAGATTGAAAGAGATTTGGTAACAACTCC